AGGTGCAGAGCTGGATGAACACAGCAGGCCAAGCAGCATCATAGGAGCAAAAAGGCTGATGTTTCGGGCCTAGACCCTTCATCAGAAATGGGGGAGGGGAAGGGGGTTCTGCAAGCTATGCCTGCCTCTTTGTAGGTTACGTGGAACAATCCCTCTTCCGTACCTACATTGGCCCTAAACCCCACCTCTTCCTCCGTTACATTGATGACTATATCGGCGCCGCCTCGTGCTCCCACGAGGAGCTCGAACAGTTCATCCACTTCACCAACACCTTCCACCCCAACCTTAAGTTCACCTGGACCATCTCTAATACCTCTCTCTCTCCATCTTGGGCAACCACCTAGAAACCGATATCCATTTCAAGCCCACCGACTCCCACAGCTACCTAGAATACTCCTCCTCTTACCCACCTTCCTGCAAAAATGCCATCCCCTATTCCCAATTCCTCCACCTCCGCCGCATCTGCTCCCAGGATGAGGCATTCCACTCCTGTACATCTCAGATGTCCTCATTTTTCAAGGACCGCAACATCCCCCCCTCAGTGGTTGAGAACGCCCTCAACCGTGTCTCCCACATCTCCCGCAACTCATCCCTCACACCCCGTCCACGCAATAACAACCAAAAAAGAATCCCCCTCGTCCTCACGTACCACCCCACCAACCTCCGGATCCAACGCATCATCCTCCGACACTTCCGCCATCTGCAATCCGACCCCACCACCAAAGACATCTTTCCCTCCCCACCCTTATCTGCTTTCTGGAGGGACCACTCTCTCCGTGACTCCCTTGTCCGCTCCACACTCCCCTCCAGCCCCACCACACCCGGCACTTTTCCCTGCAACCGCAGGAAGTGCTACACCTGCCCCCATACCTCCTCCCTCACCCCCATCCCAGGCCCCAAGAAGACTTTCCACATCAAGCAGATGTTCACCTGCACATCTGCCAATGTGGTATACTGCATCCGCTGCACCCGTTGTGGCCTCCTCTACATCGGGGAAAGCAAGCAGAGGCTCGGGGACCGCTTTGCAGAACACCTACGCTCGGTTCGCAATAAACAACTGCACCTCCCAGTCGCGAACCATTTCAACTCCCCCTCCCATTCCTCAGATGACATGTCCATCCTGGGCGTCCTGCAGTGCCACAACAATGCCACCCGAAGGTGGCAGGAACAGCAACTCATATTCCGCTTGGGAACCCTGCAGCCCAATGGTATCAATGTGGATTTCACAAGCTTCAAAATCTCCCCTCCCCCTACCGCATCCCAAAACCAGCCCAGCTCGTCCCCACCTCCCTAACCTATTCTTCCTCCCACCGATCCCCTCCTCCCACCTCAAGCCCCACCCCCATCTCCTACCTACTAACCTCATCCCACCCCCTTGACCTGTCCGTCCTCCCTGGACTGACCTATCCCCTCCCTAACTCCCCACCTACACTCACCTTTACTGGCTCCATTCCCGCCTCTTCGACCTGTTTGTTTCCTCTCCACCTATCTTCTCCTCTATCCATCTTCTATCTGCCTCCCCCTCTCTCCCTATTTATTTCAGAACCCCCTTCCCTTCCCCCATTTCTGATGAAGGGTCTAGGCCCGAAACGTCAGCCTTTTTGCTCCTATGATGCTGCTTGGCCTGCTGTGTTCATCCAGCTCTGCACCTTGTTGTCTCTAGTTCATGTGGGGCACCTGGAACACACATTTTTCCTGTCTAAGGCAAACACCTGCCTGGGAGAAACATTTAAGCACTGCGTCCATGTTCTTCAAGTGCTCTTTATTGGTCTTCCCTGTTATTAGCACGATAGTCAGATAAATGGCAGCCTGGGCTAGCCCTTGTAAAATATTCTCTGTGGTCCACTGGAAAAGGCCGCAGGCTGATAATACCCCAAATGGCAGTTTTGTATATTGGAACAAACCCCTATAGGTATTAATTGTAGCATATTTCCAGGACTCATCATCCAGTTGCAATTGCAGATAGGCATGGCTCACATCCAGCTTTGTAAAGGACAGCATCACCCCTCACCCCCGACCAACTTTGCATATGAGTCTTCTATGCAAGGGATTGAGTATTTATCCTGCTGTGAGAAATGGTTTACCGTTTGCTTAAAACCCCCACAGAGGCAAACTGAGGAATCAGGCTTCACAATCAGTACAACCGGTGCCGGCCATTCTGCAAACTGCACTGGTTTGATGATTCCTTCACCCTCCAGCCTCCTGATTTCTGCCTCTACTTTTGCCCACGTGGCAAATGGCACTGGGTGGGCCCTTGCAAAATCATGGAATTGCTTCCTGGTCAACATGTCAGGGGAGGTGATGGCCTAGTGGTATTATCACTGGACTGTTAATCCAGAGACCCATATAATGTTCTGGGGACCCAGGTTCAAATCCTGCCATGGCAGATGGTGGAATTTGAATTCAATAAAATAACTGGAATTAAGAGCCTAATGATGACCATGAATCCATTGTCGATTGTCAGGAAAAACCATCTGGTTTACGAATGTCCTTTGGGGAAGGAAACTGCCATCCTTACCTGGTCTGGCCTACATGTGACTCCAAACCCACAGCAATGTAGTGGACTCTGAACTGCCATTTAGGCAATTAGGGATGGGCAATAAATGCTGTCTAGCCAGTGACACCCTCATCCTGTTAATGAACAAAAGGATGTAAAGTGGCTTTGGTTCCTCTGATAGTCCCAGGCTCTTCCTGAAATACTCCCGAATATTTCACTAAGACATCACTGAGGCAGCTATTTTCTAATCGAAGAATGTTGAGCCAATCCAGGTGAATCTTCCTCAACCAATTCCATCCCAATAGGCTTGGGCCTGAGCCTCTTGCTACCATCAGTGGGAACTGCATCAACTGCTTCTCATAAGAGAGTGGAACCGAAGTCGTACCCTTAATCTGCAACGGTTCCCCAGTGTATATTCTCAGTCTGGCTGAGGTCTTACACAAACTTGAGGGTTGCAGTCCCGAACGAATCTGGTTAAAGACAGATCCTGCAACACAGATACAGCTGTGCCAGTATCAACGTCCACGGGAACCGGGTGACGATTTAACCAAACATTAATTTTAATCAGTTCCAATTTGGATGACACTTAGCAATTTAATTGTTCCAACCCACATGTACGAGGTCTTTCCAGGGTGTGCACTCTCCCAGATACCAGCTATGAATTTTCTTACTCAAGTCAGGTCTTGTAGGACTCCTTTTCTGTCTCAAGTCTGCATATCAGCAGCAACAACAATGGTTTGCTGTCTCAGATTCTGATTTTTCACTGCGTGGCCGAGGCTCGGCTTTGTGGGGTCTTGCTGTGGGCTGGGCCTAGTGTCCCTCTGCTCAGGATATGCCCTGCATGAGACTCTGCGACTGCCTACACTTACATGATGTTCCCCAAGCTCAGTTGGACAGGTGAGGGAGTCTACTTCCATTGGGATACCACATTTTCTAATGACAAAGCCAGTGTGGCACTTGATTAAAGTCCAGTTGGGCTTCAACTAGTAGGCACTTCTGCACGGTTACGTCATTAATTCCACATACCAAATGGTCTCTCAGCAGCTCATTCAGGGTTAACCCAAAATCACATGCCTCTGCCAGTTGTGTCAACCTCATCAAAAATCCCAATATGGATTTCCCTGGTTCTTAATAACAGCCAAATAAAACTGATAGCGTTTCAGAATTAGAGGTGGTTTGGGGTTATAATATTCCTTAACCAACTCCATCAATGTTTGGAAGGTTTTAGTGTATGGTGCCTCTGAGAAAGTCAAGCCTCTTATAACTGAGAATGCTGAAGGGTCCACAAGCAGTCAGGAGGATTACTTGTCACTTCTCATCTGCCCCAATGTCATTTTCCCAGAAAAAATATTGCATTCTTTCAACATTCTGGGCCCAGTCTTTGGCAGCAGGAACAAACAAGTCAAGCTTCCCAAATAAAAGCACGATGCCAGAATCACTTATCCCAACTGCTGCAAGCGAATGTTCTTCACGCATATTCTGTTTGCTCCCATTGCTCTGAAATAACTGCAGAGGCTGGTATCCCATCACCAGGTGTCCCTTTATTTACTTGTGGCCAGCCAGCTCAGAGTCAGTCCCCAGAACTGGGGAGATTCTAAATCACCTGGTTATATTGGTCAGCCAGGGCTTTCCTGATTGACACAGGTTAATGACACCAATCAAGGATCTCAGTCAACAAGATCCAGCTGGTTCCAATCAATGCAGCAGACAAAGTTTTAGTCCTGCATTTATTCACCCTTTCCTTTCTGAAGTCTGAGTCTTGAGGAGAACTGGAGTTGTTGTAAAGCTAGTCACAGACAGAACAATCACAAGTTTCAAGATGCTTGAAGGCTGTGTAAAAACGAAATAAAAACCAAAAGAGCTGTGGATGCTGTAAATTAGCAAACAAAAATAGAAGTTGCTGGAAAAGCTCAGCAGATCTGGCAGCATCTGTGGAGAAAAATCAGAGTTAACATTTTGGGTCCAATTACCCTTCCTCAGAACAGTTCTAAGGAAGGGTCACCGTTTTTGTTCCTGTGTAAATACTAAACTGGCAGAACAGCTCTTTCAGGCTGGCTCAGTTCGAGGGGTACATTCATATACAAAAGTAATCAATAATCACACTATTCTTGTTAGGGGCAGAGGAAAACAAAACAATATCCTAAAAAGAACTAATTTAAGTTGCAGACTGAACAAAAACTTAGTTTTAACATTGTAGTGCCATATAAAATGTTAGAATTCTGATGTCCTGATGTGCAGGTAAACTCGTGTCCTTTTTAAGCAGAATGAAAACTAGTTTACAATTATGCTTCAGTTCCCAGAGATAAGTCGTTAGTAGACCAGAAGAAAATTGTTTTGAACCGTCTATGGTCTTCGTAAAATTAGAACATTTTAATAGATGACATTGACACGCTAAAGGTCATCAATACCATTGAGACTATGCTTTTAAATATCTGTGTTAAAAAAGAGTTCCAAGGACTGTTGCATGAAAATACATTTTACTACTAGCAACTGAAGTATATACCTTTTGACTTCTTAGGTAAGGCATCCACATGTTTTGAACAAGCTCATATCGATACTTCTTTGAGAAAGAACCAGCATAAGAAATGAAAGCTGCCATCAAGAGAACATCTCCACAGAGAGTTTTCTCCTGTTCGGAATACTGTGTGACAGACTGAGCCCAGCGTACATTCTCTGACTGATGTAAGAAAACAAGAAATTAACATTAATAAATATGAAAAACAATATTGAATGGAAAGGTATATTCAATTCCTTTTCATGAAAATGAAGTTAAGCAGCATACACCAAATGAACAATAACATGACAAATGTTGCCTATTACATCACAATACTTTGTTTTTAATAAAATGTTAATGTTTTATTGAACAGTGGAAAAATGTATGTTAGATGGAGGTATTTAAGATGAGACAGTATTTAAAGAATTCTGTTTTTTTGAACCATTAGCACTGTTTTGGGATGAGCAGTACACTATAAAATAGTACAATGCTGCACAGGAGCTTTTACAGCTTACCTCCAAACCTTTCACTAATCTGTTAGCTAGTTCAATTGTCTTATTGGTTCTTTTCACTCGATCCTGACAACGGACTTTTTCAGATGTGGCCTTTTCAAAGGCTTCTGTTAATCCAGTCAAGCATGTGTCTAGATCCTTTCAGTAATGAAAAATAATTGTAAGGAAAACAAAATCTCTAGCTCAGTGCTCCATTACAATATCTCTTCATACCATATGATCAAAGACTAAAATAAACTTCTGGGTCTCTTCTTCGAAGTCTTCACCTGGTGGGAAATTCATAGCAACTTCATCTCCCAGGCTTCCATTTAAAATTAACAATCAATTACATCATCGGGATATAACATGCACGTGCAAAGATGGATCCCACCAAAACTGGGTGGGTGCCTTTCCTACTTGTTGAATAGAACAGGTCAATATTCAAACAATGGGATCCTGGCAACTGCTTGCAAGCATTCATCTTAAAAATTCACCATATTGTCCTATGGCAGCATGTTTATTATGGTTTTAATTGTAGAACTTTAATATTTTGCCAATGAAATGTCCCTGGTATAAAAATCTTAGTTATTTTCCCCTGAATTGTGTCACAATTGTCAATTTGTAGTAGTGTACTTCTGTATGCTGTGTTTGCAAAGTAACATTTATTATTCATATAAACATTCCTTGAATAATTAATATATTTAGAGATCCAGTGGTGATTATATATAGCATGTTATAATAACTTGGTCACATAAGCCATTGGCTGATCAAGGCAGCCAACATGTCTGTTGATCAACAGTATATACACTTGCACCATGCAACTCTAAAAGGAGAAAGTTGCATAATTTCCCAATCAAACAATAAGTAAATCATGCCCATAAGAGAAAGGAAATGATTAAAAAGAAGAAATTTAACTACACACTCATTGAAGGCAAGATTGCACAGAAGAATACTTGAAACGAGAAATTACATTACAAAAAAGGCGCAATGAATTGTACTTGAATTTCTGTAACAGTTTTAAGATGAAATAAAGACTGTCAAATCAGTACCTGAGGATAAGCAACACCAAAGAACAAATATAATGGTGATGAGTACTACTCATTGAATTACATTTTTATTCCCGAGTGGGGTTGAAGACATACAAAAACATGACAAAAAGGGGCAGAAGTTGGCCATTCAGCCGCTCATGTCTGCTCTGCAATTCAATAAGATCTCTTTAACTCTACATTCTCAACTATCACCATAACCCTGACTCCCTTGTCAATCAAAAATCTGACTAATTCAGCCTTGAATTTATTCAATGAAGCAGACTTCAATGCTCTCTGGGGAACCGAATTCCAAACACCAATATTTTCGGAGAAGTAGTTCCTCCTCACGTCTGTAATTAATGGGACACCCTTGTACAGATAATTAAATAATAAACAAAAAACTGCCAGTGCTGGAAATCTAAAATGAAAGTGGAGAACACTGGAAATATTCAGCACGTGAGGGAACATTTGTGGGCATAAAAACAGTTATTCTCTTAGGTAAATTATCTGCTCGGAGGAAATCATGTACAACATTTAAAGGAAAATTTTCAAATAGACTTTAAAAATGCATTACCATGCCAACTTGGAAGCTATCTATTAAATATTATACACAATCTACTCATAGGATTTTATTTAAATCAAATAGAATGCTGAGATCAGAAAGATTTTCTAACGCATCAAATAAACATTAAATGTTGTCCTGTAACATAAAATGAAGATAATGTAAATTATGATTTTAATATAAATAATATATTAATTTGCTATTTCATATGAACAAAGAATATGCTGTCATGTCTGCTGTTTTTGAGTACTATAAATTATTCCTAATGTGGAAAAGCATATGCATTTTTTCTTTACACATTAATATGAGTAGTCTAAGACTAAATGCAGATGCATATTGTGATGTTTGCAGATAATTTCAAAGTAGCTACATTTTCTCTCTGAATTTCTTTGTACTTGAAGTGCTGCCCTTTTCAAAACAAGTGAAAGTTCAATCAAGTTTTGGTGCCATGATGATCAAACAGTGTCACATCACTATGGCAATGTCTGCCAGGGCCACAAATGCAGATCAGCTTTAATTGTACTAGGCCTTATTGCTGGTGCATGTCAATCAGAACCTATGAATTGAAGAAAATTTGCTCTGTTCATTCTGTTAAATGATGTATCCAATTAAACCTGTTAGAATTCATGATCTTCAGTCAAGGTTAAATGAAAGTAGTTACTCCTGTCAGCTATGTGATTAAATGCTGCCTACATCAGGCACATTTATGTGCGAAATTAAAATTTTGTCTAAAGCATGAATCTTTATGCATGCCAGTTAATTATCTTGCAGTCCTTCTACACATTAAATGCCCAGTACATTTGTTCTTAATCATCAGGTGCAATTTAAAACACTCTTCATACCCAGTATTTAACTAGATTCCTCCATTTTAATGAATTCCGTTCTAACTGAAAATTTTACTCTTTTCATGGCTTGTCTGTTGCTACAGATTATCGACATTTGAAGGTGTAGTAACTGTACACTCATAAAAACTAAAAAAATTTAATGTTTGAGAACTATTTAACAGGAATCTTGTTCGATACAACTTTTATAACGAACTATGATCTGTTGTACGATGGCATGGTGCCTTGCATTTTTAGACGTTCATTTTCTGATGTGCATGGCACTGTGAGTCCATGCAGTCCTTTGAATAGCACATCACAAAAGTAGTTACAACCATAAAATTCACTGTTATTTGCAGTTTGTTCAATGGGCTTTGCTTTTTTTTTCAGAAGAAGTCAAGCTAAATTTAGTTTATTTTTCAGCATCTAAATAATCAAAAAATGACAACAGGATGATAAAGGGCACAGATCAGCAACAAAAAGTCTTAGTTATTATCATAACTAAGATGATAAGCCAATCTGAGTTATTGGTGTATCTGTGATTTTTAAAGTGAGATTTGTAGCTATTTGGATGGAAAAGGTTTAAATACTTAACAGAATGTTCTTTCCAGAAGTACTTTATTGTATGTTTACTTTTCAAATGAATCATCTTAGCCATCCCCCAAAATCAGCATGGACTCCTTAAATAAGGAGGCTGTACCTTTGCAATTCAAGATATTCAACAACACCACCATCAATGCAAGTCCTTGAATGTGCTTCAGGGTGGAAAGATACCACTGAAATATCTCCCTCTCTTTCCCTCAACCAAACTAAGATGGGCAATCTCGTATCCCTATTCTGAATGTGACAGTAGAGCAAAATTGGAATCATCCATTACAAGATATAATGTCCTTCTAGCATTGCAGATATTGAGGAAGATTTTCAGTGTAATTTCACAGGAAGGGAGTAATAAATGTAATAGGCAGATGGAGGTGCAAGCTTTTAAATTCGGACAGGATCATGGTAGTCTTTGGAATCCAACTCTGTCCAGAGACCGACTACAATCATGATGTTTTCCTTCCCCATTGCCCCTAGACAATGTCTCCAGGAGAGACATGAATCCAGTCAGAAATCTGTCTCAAACTGGCAACTACCTTGAATCAGGAAGTTCGGTCAGGATTATTGTCATGTCACTGGTGTCTGTGCAACATCCACTCTGCCAAACCAGCTGAGAGATTCTGTCAAAGTAGAAAATCTTGTACTGTATTTAACCTGGGGTTAGAGCAATTACAGATTTGTACAAATAGAATTTTAAAAAATGTGATTTTAAAGCCGCAGCCCACACTCTATGAAGGTGAGAAGAAATAAAAGAATATTAAAACTTTGCAAAATTAGAGGTACCTTTAATATCTGATGTTAAAATTATATCACTAAATGCAATTCTCAATAAAAAAAGTTACCCAATGTGTTCTACATTTATTATTAAAGCTCTTCTATTACTTTTAACTTGTGTAGCCTCTTCTAGTTTCTCTTTCTTTCTTGGATTGCAAGTGGGCTCCCTGGTCACTAAATGGCTTGTTTGTTAAAGAACTCCTTCATGCTTCACAGCGCCAGGGACCCAGGTTCGATTCCAGCCTTGTGTGACTGTGTGGAATTTGCACATTCCTCCCCCTGTTGGCATGGTGTACTGGGTGCTCTGGTTTCCTCTCACAGTCTAAAGATGTGTGGGTTAGGTAGATTGGCAATGCTAAATTGTCCACAGTGTCCAGGGATGTGCAGGCTAGGTGGAACAGCTATGGTAAATGCATTATTACAGGGATAGGGTAGGAAGCTGGATTTGATTGGGATGCTCTTCAGAAGGACAGTGTGGACTCAAAGGATTCTATTGTAGGGGTGCATGGTGGCTCAGTGGTTAGCACTGCTGCCTCACAGTGCCAGGGAGCTGGTTTTGATCCCAGCCTCGGGCGACTGTCTGTGTGAAGTTTGCACATTCTCCCCATGTCTGTGTGGGTTTCCTCCAGGTGCTCCGGTTTCCTCCCACAGTCCAAAGATGTGAGGTTAGGTGAATTGGCTATACTAAATTGTCCATTGTATGTAGGGTGGGAAATGCAGAGATAGGGTAGAGGGTGAGTCTGGGTGGGATGCTCTTCCGAAGTTCTGTGTGGACTTGATGGGCCGAATGGCCTGCTTCCACACTGTAGGGATTCTATGGTCTATCAGTTTATTGTGCATCCACAATTCAGGTTTGGGATCCAGAAATGTGAACAATGTCAGGTTCTTGACCCCAGAACAAATTCTATTCCTTAGTCACAGCAAATTGTGGGGTTTGAAGAAGTTGATTTTCATTTTCAAATCTCCACATACCAACATATCCACAGCAGAGAAGGGGCATAATGATCCTCAACTGGAAAGAGCTCCAAATATTACCCCAAGCTAAAACATAGTGCCATTCTATAATTATCAGTTTAAATTAGTGAAGCTTACCCTTTATACATTGTAACTTACTAAAAAAAAACTTGTTTACTTTTACTGTGTAATCATTCATCAAAAAAACCAGGTTTATATACTTAACATTTTTCTTTTTTAAAATACTTTCAGGGATATAGATGTCACTGGCAAGGTCAGCATTTGTTCCTCTCCCTAATTTCTCGTCCAAGTGGCATGTAGATCAGTTTAGAGGTCAGCTATGAATCAACAGCATTGTTAGGACCAAAAGTCACATGTAGGTCAGACTAAGTAAGGATGGCAGATTTCTTTCCCTAATGGATATCAGGGAACCAGATGGATTTTTACAACAATTGGTGATGGAGCCATTATGGAGACCAGGGGCTGCAAAGTACATGCCCCCACCAGCTGTGTTTTTGGTGGAAGTGGCATGTAATATAGGTTGGGCAGCTGGTCCACTATTTCCCCACCCATCCCTATGGGGTGAATGGGTGTCAAAATCTACAACGAGTCACCACATGTAAATAAATAAATAAATAAATAAATAAAGGTCCGTTGTACTTGTTAAAAATTGGCCACCAGAGCTCTGGTGACACCAAGACTGCAGGACTGATGACAAATTGGCCAGTGGCTGTACAGGGTGAACTTCCTCTCATTGAGGGGGCAATCTCACTACATCATTGCCTCCCCATAATTTAATATTTTGCACAGACTAGAAAAGAGGGGGAGCAACAGTGGGACTAATTAAATCGCTCTTGCGGTGTGCTGGCTCAGACGTAATTGACCAAATGGGCTTTCTTTCCTGTAACCTCTTCTGTGATTCAGTGATAATAAATTTAGTGACACCTAGTAATGCAAGTTTGGGGGAGGTGGGTGCGATGTGTGAATTGATGCCCAAAGCACCTTAAATTGCCCCTGAAAATTAAACCATGTGGCTGAGCAAAGAAAGGTCACACCTGCGACCTCTCCCCATACAATGAAATGGAATTGGTGAGGACCTTCTCCACTGATCCAGTTTCCACTTCTCCTACACTCACTGCACCAGCTCAAGCAATCATCAGATTCTTCATACCTGCTCTCACTGCTCAAGAGACAGAGCCTGTGACTGGAGGAACGGAAAGGGTGGAGGGAGCGAACAGCTGATCGGTTGAGATAATGGGTTACTTAGGCCAGTTCCCAGCGCTCACTTAGCAGAGTTTCAAGAGGCAAAAATGACAGCAATTCAATGCAATGAGTACTCAATACACACAAGGTCTGGAACTGTGCGCGAGCCGGGGAGGGAGCAGGGCCGGAGACTCAGGGGTAGGGTGTGGTATGGTGGGGCGGGGTGGAGGAGCAGGGCCCAAGTTTTGGGATGGCAATAAGAGCAGGGCCTGAGTGTCAGAGGTGGATGGAGAAGAGGAAGCATTGCTCTTGATAAGAGACGTGTGAAGTTTTCAAAGGGGAAGTGTTCAGCACAGCTGGGAATTTGTGGCATTCACAACGCTGCTGTCATATTTAAAATTTGGCTGCACACCACTTCAGATGCTACAAGCTAGGAGTTGCCTTTTGTCTGAGGAAGGGTCATAGGACCCGTAACGTTAACTCTAATTTTTTCTTCACAGATGCTGCCAGACCTGCTGAGCTTTTCCAGCAACTTCTGATTTTATTGCTTTTGACATGATCATTCTGCACCATTATCTTCAAAGACAGCACCTCTCATGCTCCTGCAAAACCACTAATTCCTATTGCATCCACCGTCACCATGCTCAGTCTCAGTGACCCTTTGTCTCAGTGCAGGAAAATATTGCTCACCCCACAAACTGTTGTCTCCACATCAACCCGAATAACATACCTGCAATCACTTGACTTGTAGGATTGGACATGGTCAAGCCCCTGGCCTGGAATATCATGGTGTCATAAAGCAACAGGTAACCCCTTGACTGTTTAATGCTCTGAGCCATGACAAGCTACTGCCTCTTTCTATGTACTAATAGGTAATGCAAGTAACAGAGGTTGGCAGTCTCCATGTAAGCGCAAAGTGAGTGAGTGTCAATAAATGAAGCGAAAAGCCTGAAGATGTATCCATGTAGATACAGGAAATGTATAGGCGTGCAAAATGACCTGGCAGAAGCATGCAAATTGTAGGTGTTCCTGGGCTCTGAAGTGAAGTCCTGAAGTGGTGTGTAGGTTTGTTGGAGAGCAGGCAAGGTGATGTGGTGAGGCTGGTGGTTTGCCATTGCTGACTTGCATAAAGGGTGGAGCAGAAGCATAAGACTATAAGATACAGGAGCAAATTAGGCCATTCGGCTTACAGGTCTAAACACCTTTGGATTGGGGCTGATTTGTTTCTCAGCCTCTTTCCTCTGCCTTCTCCCCTTCACCCTTTATCCCCTTACCAACCATGAACCTATCTCGGTCTTAAATGCATTCAATGACTTGACCTCCACAGCTTGCTGTGACACTGAGTTCCACAGATTGACCTCTAACTGAAGAAATTCCTCTCATCTCAGTTCTAAAGGGTCATCTCTTCACTCTGAGGCTATGCCCTCAGGTCCTAGTCTCTCTTACTAGTGGAAATACTTTCTCCACGTTCACTCTATTCAGGCATTACAGTTTCTGTAAGTTTCAATAAGATCCCCCCGCATCTTCATCGAGAATAGACCCAGAGTCCTCAACCAACCTTCATATGACAAGCCCTTCATCACCGAGATTCTTCTTGTAAACCTGCTCTAGAACCCCTCCAACACCAGCACATCCCTCCTTAGATATGGGGCCCAAAATTCCAAGTGCAGTCTTACCACAGCCTTATACAGCCTCAGCAGTACATTTCCACTACTGTATTCTAATACTCTTGAAATGAATGCTAATATTGTATTTGCCTTCCTAACTGCCATCTGAACATGCAAATTAACCCTTACGAAAATCCTGAATGAGGACTCCCAAGTCCCTTTGCGCTTCAGATTTCCAAAGCCTTTCCCCATTTAGAAAATAGTCTACTCCTTTAATCTTCCAACCAAAGTGTGTAATCTCACACTTTCCCACATTGTATTCCATCTGTCACTTCTTTGCCCACTGCCCTTGCCTGTCCAAGTCCTTCTGCAGCCTTCCCGCTCCCTCAACACGATCTATCATTCACCTTTGTGTCATCTGCAAACTTAACAACAATATCCTCTGTTCCTTCATCTGGATCACTAATGTATAATGTGAACAGTGTCCATGAAGCATGCAGGAACATTATGGTGAAGGCAGAGTTGAAAGAAGCAGCAGCAAGTCGCGAGTTGCTGCCACCAGGTAATTGCTCAGACTGTTATTTTGGGTCTTGGTGCCATCTAGTTTCTCGGGGAAGGAGAGAATTGGAGGCTACATTGAAATGAGATGACTTGGGCTATTAATGAAATGCATATGCATGGGAATAAGTTTGTCCCCTCAGCGAGATTTTCAGCTTGCCACTTAAACCTGAAGAGGTAAATCAAATCTTTTTTACACAACACTGACAATCTAATTTTTTTTCATTTTTGCCATTTTTCACACATTTTGTGACATTGCTCATGCCACTCCTGGGGAACAGAAACTTTTACCTAGAATCTGGGAAATATATTTATTATTAATGAACAAAAACATCTTACTGATAGATTGCAAGCTAAAATATTGAATAATGCAAATGTATATGATATATGGCATTTGTGCCATCCTATCTTTCTAGCAAAGAAAATACTAAAAGATATGCAACGCAAATACAAAAGGTAATGTTACTACATGGCTGTATCATCTCATAAAACAAACGAGTGAGAATGAGAAAGGGGGCCTTTAAAATAGAAAATGAGCCCTTGAAAATCAAAATTTACACCTTGAGATCATCTCACAAACAGCCCTCAAAGGAAATGCTGAACCTTGATATCTAGTTAAATCTAAACAGATTTGATAATCATAATACGATTTTCCCTTTATTTTCCTGAAGCAGCAGTGACATATTTTCAGCTGTGAAGTATGTACTTTTTTCTAGTGTATACTATCGATAATTGTTTACAATAATTTCTCATGATGAAGCATGCACAAAAATTAATTACATCAAAAATGAATTTTTAAAGAATTCATACTAATTTCAGAACAAATCAATTGAAAACAAATCATGCTTTCAACAGTGAATATCTAATGTAGCATCTAAAAGAGTTAACAAGGGACAATTTACCAGGATCTAGATTTCACAGCAGTCAGTGTTGGTCTAGCTGCAGCAATATCATCGGAGTCACTGCTGCATAAGACTTGGTAGCTAACTTAACCTATGGCCTTGCCGTTGTACATTGATGTGAGAATATGAAACAATAAGGATTAAGGAACAGGTATCAGAGTTTACTTAATCATTCTTACTGTAATGAGTTTATCTCACTGCAACCATTAAAATGTAGATTTGTTCCGTCATTTTGAAATCACAATAATTCAACTAAAAATTGACAATATATAGTATAGCCTTTCAACAAGAGTTTTTTTTAAATAAAAGCAAAATAAATTTCACAGGAAGATAATTACAAACATAGTACTTACTGCAAGCTTTTTTCTAATGGTCTCAAGCTTCTCTGCAGCGGCAGCTAAATCAGAATTGGCTTGCACAAGTGCTTTACGTTTGTGTTCCACTTCACAACTAACCTGGCAATATACACAGTAAGCATATTTCGCATTAATGTTGTTCAATTTATTTATAATAGTGTGATTTAATTAAAATAATGTGAAATATATACAGTTTGCAAGCCAATAAGAAATGCATTACAAGGAAGTACAGTGTCTACAAATACAGTACATATATTTCACTGTTTCTTCTTCACGTTATCCTGTGCTTTTCAATTATGCGATGCTTTGCCACACCAACTGTATCACAGATACCATGTTTTGACTCTGTCAATGTGGAGTCAGATTCTTCTCCCTACTCCTTATCTCAAGCTTCACTTTTAGCTTTGCGAAGAGCAGTTACAGGTGACTGAGAGTAAACCCTGATATTTAGTGTGGCTTTCTTCCTTTAGCATGCTTGTCTGTTGCTATTTTGTAACTATTATACCGCTAACATTTCTGTGACCTTCTTTCAATTTAGTTATGCATACAAACAATATTTTTGGGAGTCAGAGTCAGGAAATAAAAATCAATAAATTAATTCAAGAAGGTGGTTGACAGCACCAAGATTCCATCATTAAATTTCTGCATCGATCAGATGATTAAATGGTTAAAAACAATAAACACAGCACAAGAATCAGATATTAATGAATTATACACTTCTCTTTTCATTATGTTTTTTAAACATGTGCAAGAAATACAACATTATGTTCTGGTGCATGATTGATCACAAATGCCGGAGTTCTGAAATGCTGTTACAAACTAACCTTGTAGAGGAACACTCAAACTGCAAGAAAACATTAAACAAGGTTAATACTTACATAGATCTTTTGGAAATGACATCGTGATAGGCATGCAGATAGAGGAAAAAGTAACAAAAAAATGTTGAAAATACATCGCAACAAACAATGAAAAATTATTCTGTGAAGAAACCATTAATTATGCTGTGGAAAGATGAATTAGCCACTCATCATTTAATGAGAATGTACATTTTGTGTAAGTTTTAAGTCCATCTATGATAGATGTACTACCGCTGGTGAAATATATCAGGATAACATTGAAGACAGCAGTGAAATGTTCAGTTGACATATGTTCTCTTGCATAGCATTCAATCATGCCTGAAACAAGTACTTTTGATTCACTGAAAAGATATTTCAAATATGACTGTAATACACTTTTTGAGGGCTATATGGATAATGAGTGATATACCTTCTCCTGATCCATACAGTTTATCAGCAAAATATTTATAATTCATTACAGTTTATTACATTACATCTACCCTCAAGTTTTGTTGCAACTACTTAAAGTTGTCAAATGTTAAGGGAAATGGGACCTAAACAGATCTTTATTAACATACTATAAAAATCTATTGGAGTAACTTTTACACTACATCAAAACTAAAATTAGCAGATTCACTTCATACAGAAAAACTTTGAACCAAATGTTGATGATTTACACTCAAATTAAACTGACATCTATTTATTTCAAATTTAATCGGCATTATTTGAACTGTTACAGGATACCATCCTGCAACTGGTTGTTTCAAATAACTTCTTAAAAGGCATTTCTGGGATGAATTTAATGGTTCAAAGTGAAAGCTAATATTGTTGGGAATGGAACATGTTTTATCACCCTGTTGCTGTATCAACCACTTCCATCTCATATAGATTACAGAGATAAAGGCTACAAAACGGGTTCACACAATGGCACAGCTGATGATGCTATACAAATTCTCAACTGAAAAATTAAATCAGCCAGTTGCTGCCAGCCTAAGGTGGCTGTACATGCATGGAAAGTATGCAGAGGAGAAGATAGTGAATGCTAAACAGCTTCTGTTCACTGTTGATTGCACAACGTTCATTACTAGTTATGACTCCTCAGATAAAGTAATCATTTCCATATACAAGACTCGAAAAACACACGTCCTTGGACTAGTAAGTGGCAAGTAACATATGCAACGCACAAGTGCCAGGCAATGACTCTCCAACAAAAGAGAATTTGACGATCGCCCTTTGATGTTCAATTGCATTCCCATCATTGAACTCCACACTGTCAATATCCTGGAAATGACTACCGACCAGAAACTGAACTGGACTAGCTACATACACACTGTGGCTACAACAGCACGTCAGAGGCTAGGCATTCTATAACAAGTGACTCAATTCCTGTGTCTCCAAGATATACCCAGCAATAAGGAGGCCCAAGTCAAAAGTGTGAGGGAATACTTCCTACTTATGAGTGCAGTTCCAAGAAGTTTGACACCACCCAGAACAAAGTATCCTGTTTAACTGGCACTATGATGCAGCAGAATGCACCATTTACAAGATGCAGTGCGTTATCTCACCAAGCCTTGGTCGACAGCATTTTCCAAACCTGCAACCTCTACCAGCTTGGAGGAGAAGGGGAGATGCAGGGGAACACCATAGTCAACATTTGAAAGTTCCCCTCAAATTCCCTTCAAATTCACACACCATCCCTTTAGAGCAATATCAAGATTCCTTCACTCTATCTGGGTCAGAATACTGGGACTCCCTTTCTAACTGCACTGTAGGTGCCCCTATACCCCAAGCATTGCAGCAGTTCAAGAAAGCAACTCACCACCATCTTCCTAAGGATAATTAGGAATGGGCAATAAATACTGATTTAGCCAGGAACACACACAATGCATGAATAAATAAAAGGAAAACTCTGTCATGGTAGAACAATCTGCTGTTTTGGAACACACAGTCCAGTTGACACCCTCTCAATTACTACCAACTGTTCGGCTGTACAAGGTACCACCCCTGCTCGTGCTATTTAAAGGGTTAGCCAAACAACTTGTGGTGCTTTTAACTTAATTTTGCTGGTCCAGATTTAGCAGATGTATGGTGTTATGTTATTGGAGGAACTAACATTGAATTTTCAAGGTAATGGTGCTAGATTCTGGCTAGGTGGTCAGAAGAGTTGTTTGGCCTGGCAGGAGAAAGTCTGCTTCAGTACTGGAGTTAAGACATACATTGGGTTTAAGCTATCGGGCTCAAGTGAATCTCTAGATGACTATAAAAATTGTAGGAACACACTTAAGAGGGAAATTAGAACAGCAAAAAGAGGGTATGAGATGGATCTGGCAGATAAAGTTAAAGATAATCCGAACAGGATCTACATCTATAATAAGAGTAAAAGGGTGGCTAGGGAGAGAATGGGTCCCGTTAAAGATCAACATGGCTCTCTGTGTGTGGAGCCAGAGGAGATGGGGGAGATTTTTGATGAATATTTCTCCTCAGTGTTTACTGAGGAGAGAATCATGGATGGTAAGGAAATAAGGGAAACAAGTGGGGATGTTTCGGACCACATACAGATTACCAGAGAGGAGGTGTTTGCAGCCTTAAAGCACATTAAGGTGGATAAATCCCCTGGGCCTGATCAAATCCATCCTTGGACATTGCGGAATGCTAGGGAAGAAATTGCAGAGGCCCTTGCAGAGATTTTTGCTTCATCTTTAGCCACTGTTGAAGCTCTGGAAGACTCGAGGGAAGCTAATGTTGTTCCATTGTTTAAGAAAGGTAGCAAAGACAAGCCAGGGAATTACAGGCCAGTGAGCCTGACATCAGTGGTAGGCAAGTTATTGTAGAGGATACCGAGGGACAGGATCAACTAACAGTTGGATAGTCAAAGTCTGATCAGGGATAGTCAGCATGGATTTGTGAGCAGGAAATCACATCTGACAAATCTTTTAGAGTTTTTCAAAGAAGTAACCAAAGGGATAGATGAAGGTAGTATAGTGGATGTTGTCTATTTGGACTTTAGGAAGGCCTTTGACAAGGTCCGGCACAGCAGGCTGATCATGAAGGGATCCAGGGAGAGCTAGCTAATTGAGTTCAAAATTGGCTCGATGGTAGGAAACAGACAGTGATGGCTCAAGATTGTTTCTTGGACTGGAGGTCTTTGACTACTGGTGTGCCACAGGGGTCGGTGCTGGGACCTTTGTTATTTGTTATTTATATAAATGATCTGGATGTGAATGTACAAGGCACAATTAGTAAATTTGTGGATGATACAAAATTAGGAGGTATCGTTTGATAGCGAGGAAGTTTATCAAAAATTACAGAGGGATTTTGATCAGATGGGGAAGTGGGCTGAAGATTGGCAAATGCAATTCAATGCAGATAAGTGTGAGGTGTTGCACTTTGGAAATTCAAACCAAGGTAGGATTTATACAGTAAATGGTAAGGTCCTGAAGAGTGTTGTGGAACAGAGGGACCTAGGAGTACATGCACATAGTTCATTGAAAGCGGCGTCACAGGTAGACAGGGTGGTGAAGAAGGCATTTAGCATGCTGGCATTCATCAGTCGAGGCATTGAGTATAGGAGTTGAGATGTTCGGTTACAGTTGTATAAGTCATTGGTGAGGCCGCACTTGGAGTACAGTGTACAGTTTCGGTCACCCTGTTGTAGGAAAGACATAGTTAAACTGGAAAGCGTGCAAAGATTTATGACGATGTTGCCAGGACTATTAGCCCTTGAGTTATAGGGAGAGGTTGGCCAGGATAGGACTTTATTCCTTGAAACGTAGGAGATTATCAAAATGTATAAGGTCATAAGGGGCATAGATAGGATGAATACATATAATCTTTTCTCCCAGGGATGGAGAATTGAAAACTAGAAGGCATAGGTTTAAGGTGAGATGGCAAAGATTTAAGAAGGACCTGAGGGGCAACATCTTCACACAGGCAGTGGTATGTACTTGGAATGGGCCGCCAGAGAAAGTGGTTGAGGCAGGTGCAACAGCAACATTTTAAAAATATTTGGATAGGTACATGGATGGGAAGGGTTTAGAGGGATACAGATCAAATGCGGGCAATTGGGACTAGCTGGGTGGGCACCATGGTCAGCATGGGCCAGTTTGGGCTGACTATACTTGCAGTCTATCCTGAAAATGTAGCATAGGCAGAGAATTAGTGCCCCGAGAGACCAGGAAAAAGGTTCTCAATTGGAGACTATGTTCATCAAAGGTCTTCATGCAGTACTTGCCCTACTTCTACCTCTGCAAGGAGGAGTGTGGAAGGTGACTGTGTTTGAGCAAGGAGGGATTCACTGAACTGTGTCAT